GGTCATGAATCCTAAACCATTTGTCACAGGCTCAAGTGTCATATCATTGGGATCCTTGAAAGAAAGCATGTCTTGGAACGATACTGGTAAAAATTCATGGGGAATGTTTTCAAGAAACCTGTATACTTTTGTGAGCTAGACCTAGGTTTTTTTTACCCGATCAGAACCAAACACATGCAAAAAGATTCTGTAGAGTCTGGTTGTCAATTATCAAGCCAATTTCCATTCACATTTGCAACTGGGCGCCAGAATGTTTGACGTGGTTCCTTCTACTAAAACGACCATGCTGCCGCTCCCTGCCTTCAGCTCAGGCACCAAAATGGGGCTTTACTTCAAAAGAAGGGTCCCGTAGCGAAAGAAATGCTGATGACAGGGGTCGTCGTGGAGAATGTCATTATGTGACAGACAAGTCGGGAGAGACCGTGATCACTTATGGGGAAAGGGAACGCTATAGTGACCGAGATCACTGTGCTGCTTAAGTACACTTTTTAAAACTTTTTTTCACTTCAGCAAAAATCTGCTAAGTGTTGTCTTTGAAAAGAGATCAAACTCAAGTCTGTGCTCTAAAGTGCCTAAAGCAATAAACAAACCCCATATTGTGAATTTTGTTTTGATCGTGTTTATAATTTAGAGGCCTTAGAAAATGATCAATTCTATCAATTATGATACAGAATGCTTTATAGGGTTAAGCTGAGTTTTTTATCCAGTTTAGTTGTTGGATAGGACACATTATTTCCCGCTCCAAGATATAGAATTAGGAAAACATTTTATGTGTTTTTTATGTAGTGAGCCTCTCTTTGTGAGTTCTTTTATGTAAAGTGATGATTCAGCCAGCGCACACTTTCTCTGGTTGTGTTTTAGACTTCAGCCCAGAAGATCTATAATGTGAATGAGCTCTCACGTGTTGGACCGCACATTGGACAGCCTCATAGCAAAACATTCTGAACCAGAAAAGCCATTCTGTGTCTGGCTGCTGTAATCTGCATCTGGTGGAGCAGAACGCAGCAGATGTCCTCCCTCTCTCAGCGCTCACCAGTTAACACTGGTTGTGAACTCTTCTCTGAAGCCCTGTTTAACAGCGTATTCAAGATTCGACAACGTTCAGATGATTAACTGGCAACAGACAGCTTTAAAATAAAGGCAGCCAGTGGTTTTATTCCTTTCGAGTAGAGGAAAAGTTGGGTCAGAATGAACGAATCTTGTCAGATCTTACGGATCCTAATCGTGTCATGGAGAAGAGCAGAACATACATTCTGTCGTACTTCACAGAATTGACCCGTGTACGTCCTTCTGTTGTCTAGTGAGGGACGAGCTGCTTTGTTTCTCTCAATATTAGCACTGATATGATCCATTTATTTTATTAACCGTCGGCCATTTCGTGGCATGTTTACCATAGACTGTAAAAAATATGGACAAAGCGTCTGTGACATCACTCATAGACTTTCCGAAGAACGGGTTTGAGGCTATTTATGTATGGGCGGCGCCATACTGGAACATCTTGAGAAATACAAAATACAAATGTTCAGAAAGGATACAGAGGTGGTATGATGTGTTGTGTCAGATAGGCCTATTTCACAAAAATGGCCGCCGAACCAACGTGGAAACGACGTCTCTCATGACATTGAAACAACGTTGATTTTGCTCATCGAATTAACGTTGAACCAACGTCAGACGCGGCATTCTTCAAAGCTAAATGAAAATCGAAAATTGGTTTGCTTTCATAACGTTGAAACAATGCGTTGATTTCAAGTTGATTTTCCGTTAGTTTTGAAAGAATGGCGCGTCTGACGTTGGTTCAACGTTAATTCGATGAGCAAAACAATGTCAGATCAACGTTGTTTCGATGTCATATTTCCACGTTGATTCAATGTCAGTTTGCTATCTGGGATGGCAGAGGATGTTTTTATAACATGACTGTAGCGATGAGCGATGTAGGCTACGTTAGATAATCACAGACATGTGTGAACGCAATGGCCAATCAGAAGCATTTACGATAGACTCACCGCTCAAAACTGCCGTTTTGTTCAGTGCTGAATTCTACATGCTGGCAAATGCTCTAATTATAACAAACAACTGTATTATGGAAGATTTATTGTGCAGTCAGCTTCATTGATAATAACAGAGATGTGGGATCGCGATGAACTGATGTCAGCTTTTTTAGGAGCGCGCATTCAGTCATGCCAAACCATGCACGCAACCTGCTTGTTTTTATGTCATAATAACAGTGGTTTGTGTGTTAATGCTTTAATAACAAATAGTTTATCGGGAGCATTTATGCTGATGTGTATAATGGCGACACGTAGGCTAACTTGAAAGTATTTGGAGGTACAGAAAAAAAGTCTATTTGTGGGCGGCAGCGGGACAAAACATGCACTAGTTTTGACGCTTGATAGATTTACTTTTTTCTTAAGAAAATCGATAAAAACCCTACACCTTTTGCTGTATATCTGGCGGCGCAACCTCCAACACAACACGATTTCGCCATCGTTTCAACTTTGATCAACAACAATGATTTTAAATATGTAACTGTTCAGTTGCCGGCTGGATCTCTTCAGTTAGTCAATAGAAGCCGCTCGCGTTCTGCCACCCGGAAGTATCGCGGTGCCTATTGTTTACAAACATTCTGAAATGCCCTATATGGATATTTGCTCCCTTTAGCGACCGGCCCCTAGCGGATTTTCGATGTATTGCAGTTGCGCACTTTCGGGTATGGGCTATATGCACAACTGTAGTTTCGAACTTCCGCTTTTGTCAGAAGTCGGCGTATCAGTTTCCGGTCTACGACTGGTCATCCGCATCCACTAATAAACAAACAAGATGAGTGCTGCTGTTGTACGAAAAAAAGAGTTCTTAAACACATCTAAGTTTCTTAGAACTGTAGTGGATCTAACGTCCGTTTCACACCCGTTTGCAGTGTGTGTTGCGGTGCAGGAGCGTGCTGTTCACATATTATGATGCGTTTTCTCTCTTCAAAGACTCTTCAAAACAATAATGAGGTGGTACATGCCAAAGTCTAGGACAGATGTGGTTGAAATAACACAAAGTAACCTTCTGTGACCTTTAATTGCCATTTATTATCTGTGCTTTAAATTCAGTGACATTCTGTTTGGATGGATGGACGGGTGGATGGTTACAGACAGAGTGAGTTGTCATTGAATAAAAGAACTTGTGATTTTCTGAAACTGTTCTATGATGTTATAGTATAATACACTATACTGTATCTTTCTTGTCTTTTTTTCTCTGGCATTTTGATCAATGTGTGTATTTACCTGTCGGATTATGTATTTTCTTGTATTGTGTTTTACTCTCTTGTCAGTTAATGTATTTTATTATCTAATTTTGTTAGATTGTAGAGCAATTTGGTCAGAAGTGTCTGTTTTAAATGTGCTTTATAAATAAAAGTGCCTTTTTATTAACTCCAGAAAGACAAATAAAATCAGTTGCACCCATTGATATTGATTTTATGTGATTGTACAAAAAAAATAATTTAACTGTATTCATGGTTTCTGCTAATGGAGAAATGTTCTAGATATTGTCAACAGCAGATTAGGCTCAAGCGCTCATTTTAAATGTAAATGCAATGTAAACACATGTTAACCGTCATGTAAAAGCATTGTTACATCTACTGCAAATGTATTCAATTTTAGATTGTCTATTGGCATATCTATTCTTAACCAGCTGAGGAACATCATAGAGCCAAGGCTAATGTAGAATAAAAGTGACATTAAATGTGTTCAAATATCTGGTCAATCAATGTGTGGCTCATGTTCCTGCTCATGTAATAGTGGAGTTTTTATTCATGATTGTGGTGACCTCTTGTGGAAGGAAATGGAAACAGATGCAGATTCACAGTTACATTCATACAGATGCCAGGTAATATTGGAGAGAAAATGTCGATGGCATAGGCTATTTGTGGAAATATAACCTATGGGAATTTAACATAGGGGTGCCCTGACTTATGCACCCTGTATTTTAAGGAAAAAATATTTATTTATTTATGATACATTATTCATTCACAAAAGAAAATTGGTGTCCTTAAAGGTTGGAGTTTTCCTCATTTTTCTAATTAAGGCATTAAGATCAATATCCAAAAGATGATTTTTTTATTCCTCTTTTTAGGCAACTTTAGCATGGGTGCCAAAACTTATTCACACCACTGTAAATAAATAAAATATATGAAAACATGTTTGTAATTAAAGTTAAAATGATTTATAAACACGTCTATCGAATTGAAATAAATAACAGTATTTTGGGTGTCTTGTTCATAATATTTATTTACATATATAAGCAACACAACTTAAATCGCATCAACACTGTACATGAGTGTGAATCCCATGATATCCGTCCATTACAGCCGTTAACTCTGAACACACACTATTATAAAACTCATTTAGTCTTTTAAGAGCTTGACAGTAAAAATTAACCAAATGGATTAGAATCATAACATCTTAATATTTAGTTTAATAAAAATGAATGGAAAGACGTAAACATTTTTAAGTGTGAATGATATCCATCAAATAAAATAATGAAAATGAAGAATAGAAATGAGTATTTAAGAATATATGAATACTTGAATAAACTTAAACTCATCTATTCATGTGTAATACCAACACATACCAACACACCCACACAAATATCATTGCATAATTTATCCAGTTGGCTCTATAGTATGCCGAACCAGAAAACAGGAAAAAAGCGATATTTGTTTTACAGGCCAAACTTAAAAAAAATGACACCATCTGATAAAAAATAGTCAAAAATCAAATTTTGAAGCCTTGCCATCAGAATGAAAGCCTCTTAACAAAGATTGCATAATTTTATAGTTAACTGAACCGGGAATTAAAAATGGCAGTTTTAATGGGATTCAATGGGGACATTTTTGTCCAAAAGGGGCTGAGAGGGAGTATTTTTTGTACCTAATGCAAAAGATTTTTTTTTTTAAGAAAATGACGGTGAAATAGTAAAATTCCAATAAAAATACACACCTGTGCCAAGTTAACACAGGCAAAGTGATCAAAAAAACAAAACTGAAAAGGACAAAAATGTCCACAAGGATGCACAAGGGTTAATAATCACAGATAATCAGTGGTGTGGAGTTTACATTTCTAAAATTATATTCCCTCTCATACCCCAAACAGACAAATGGAAAGAGTTTCTGCTTAAAAGACTGACTGGTGTAAGAGTAGATATGAGACATGGACTCCACTTCATAAAAGGAGACGAGACCCTTCTCATAATCCACAAACACACCGATCCTCTGAGGATCCACTCTCAGAGAAAGAGGGACATGTGCATACTCACAAGCAAAATACTCCTCATCTCTCCGTCTCACAGTCCAGTATCCAGCATAAGGCCTCGGATTGATCCAGCCGTTCCTGTTACTGGATTCTCTGGCCACTCCTAAATCCCACTCGGTTTGACCCTTCACCTGAACCTCAAAGTAAAAACTCCTTTTGGAGAATCCGTCCTTCCCGAGAACACCAAGATATGTATCAAACCTGTGTTTTCCCCAAGCCACTGCGTTCCGGCTGTTTCCACATTCCACGTGTATCTCTTTATCAGACACGATGAGCTGTGGATGAGCCGAATCAGCATCCAGAGTCACTTTCACTGCTGAAAATATAGAAATACTGCTTTACAGATGAGCATATAACAACAGAAAGACAATTATTCATTTTCATAAGAATCATGGAAAACGGGATAATAATAAAAAAAAGAAGAAGAATTAATTAATACTGCATTCATTGTAAACTAGGTTAAAAAATTGTCATGAGAAAAACAAACTATTATTTCTTTATTTTTTCATTCTAACTAATATTTTTTTTTATTTTTTCTAACTATTCTTTCTTTCTACCAAATCTTTCTTTCCTTTTTAATATTTCTTTATTTTTTCTAAATAATCTTTCTTTCTACCTAACCTTTCTTTTTTCTTTTTAATCTTTCTTTCTTTATAACCAATCTTTCTTTCTAACGTTTCTTTCTTTCAAACTAATCCTTCTTTCTTTCTTTTTAAAATTTTCTTTTGTTCTTTTTTTATAACTAATCTCTTTCTTTTTTCTTTTTAACTAATCATACTTATTCTTTCTTTTTTCTTTCTAACTAATCGTTCTTGCTTTGTAACTACTTTCTTTCTTTCTTATCTTTATTTCTAAGTATTATTTCTCTCTAAATAATCTCTTTTTTCTAACTAATCTTTCTTTCTATCTACAGTATTCTTTCTTTTTTAACCAATATTTCTTTCTATCTACTTCTATCTAATTTCTAAGTGATCTTTCTTTTTTTCTTTCTTGCTAATTATTCTTTCTTTCTTTCTTTCTTTCTTTCTTTCTTTCTTTCTTTCTAACTATATTTCTTTCTTTTATGCTTTCTAACTAATCTTCCTCTCTCTCTCTCTCTCTCTCTCTCTCTCTCTCTTTGTACTCTTTCTTTCTAATTATTCTTAATTATTTCTAACAGCTGGTTCAAGCATAACATACACCTGCAAGATATTAGTTTTGACCATTATCTACTCAGCAGAACTGAATGTGGATGTGAGGAACACTATGATCTCCACGCTCGTCAGCTTCGGTTAAAAGCATTATTGTAATGTGTGAACACGCTGGCAATTTTTACGTTTTAGTCAAATAGTTAACAGTGTGTCTGTTGCATTAAACGTTCAATCACCATTTTGAGAATTTGCTTAACATGTGACACGAAGCACTGCATGTTTGATTTTAATAAGGTCCAAACGCAGCAGTAGTTTTTGTATTTCTCTTGTGTGTTTTTTGAGCGACACATTCGTGAGGAACCCGAAAAAATTTCCGTACTTTTGCTCTTCATGACAGATCCACAGATGATCATCATCCCTTTAATATTTGGCCACTTCTTTATGATAGAAATGTCACAGTCACAGTAATTCCTTGAACAATAACATGTGGGCATCTAAACATGCAAACTCATGAGGGTTTCAACTTTTATTTTGAAGTCGCCATTAATGAACAGTTTGCAAATTTAGAAACATATTGGTGTATTCTCATGTGTTGGCATAGGTTTATGGAGGATTTACGTTTCAAATCTGGTGAAATGGCGTTGATATCATCATAAGCTAACCTAAACTCACAGCATATGCAGAGATGGCATTTGTTAAACATCTTTGATCATTTAGTATTTGGATCATTTTAAGCATTTGTGCAGTGCATTATACCAAACTCTCAAAAACATATAAAAAAATAAATAAATGTTTGACATGTTGATGAATTTAGAAAAATAAAAGTATTTAAATAAATAATTATGTCAAAGAAAATGCATAGATTATACTCACCCACGTGTTTTCTTAATTGTGGGACAGCTAAAAAATAGAAATTATGAAATGATATGCTCATAACAGAAGTCATCTCTAGATCAATAATGAGATCAATCATTTTAATCACCATTTGAATAGCAAGAAAATCCAAGAAGACTTTATATCGTAAAATAAATATATATTTTGATAAAATATAATAGATATATATGAATGCACAGTATTCATTAATTGTTTTGCAAAATAATTCAAAAGCAATTCATGTTTTAATAAAGCTATAAACAAATTCACCTTGTGTTATAATAATCTTCTGACTTTGTAAAAGTTGATCACGTTCTAAAGAAAATTCAGAGAAATATGTGAAAAGAAAATTTAGAATAAAGACAAGAGAAAACATCATTAACTTACACAATACACACATATATTTTAGTGTTTGGGACAAAGACATTTTCCTCAGTGCTTCACATCATCAGCAAATGACTTTATACACTGACGCATTTATCATTCCTATTTTGCACGTGCACAAAGCGGGTTTTTTTCCTCCACAGACGCACGTCGGTAAACTAGGAAATTAACTTACGCTCCCTAGGCGGGTTGGCGCAAAAAGGAGGCGTGTGTCGGCGCAAACAACCCCTAGTGCTATTTTGCAGTTCCAAAAACAATTGCGCCAATGACCAGAAAAAACCTGGTCTAAAGTTAGTGGCGCGTTGCGCGTACATTCAGATGTTATTTTAAGCGCGCCTGCTTGGCCATAATACAGAGAGTGAACAACGCGCATACACTGTAGATGATTCTCTCATCTACACAGATGCATTTTACTTTTTCCAAACGATACATTATTATAAGAAAAAATATAGAAACATGATGATGGGAAAAATAGGCATAATTAGGCACATTTAGTTATTATATGCATGTTTAACCGAAGCTAATTTGGGTGGGTTTGTCCCATCCCCAATGTCCCTTCTCTTTCTTTTACGGCCCTGACGAGAACATCGATCTCCTCGGCTGTGAACCGATTGTGAAGAGCGCCTGGTAAATGCGCCGTTATAATACAGTAGTATTGCGCCATGGAACAAGCGCACCTCGTTCTTCACGCTCTTAAAGGGAATGTGATATGACGCTCTTACTGGTTTATTTGGGGGCGGCAGTGGCTCAGTGGTTCATGTGGATTGTCTACAAACCGAAAGGTTGGTCAATCCTCGGTTCCACCTGACCAAGTGTCGAGGTGTCCATGAGCAAGACACCTAACCCCACCTGCTCCCGACGAGCTGGATGGCGCCTTGCATGGCTGACACCGCCGTCGGTGTATGAATGTGTGAGTGAATGGGTGAATGTGAGGCAAATGTAAAGCGCTTTGGTGGCCATTGGGTCTGTAAAAGCGCTATATAAATGCAGTCCATTTACCATTTATTTCCGTTACGCCCAAAGCACACGTATGAATAATGAAGCTACTCCAGACCAACCCCTTTTAGATTTGCGCAAGGCGCAAGAGGCATTTATCCCGCCGGGAAAATAGCAACAGAGCCGGGATCCGCCCACAAAGTTACTTGTGCTTTAACACTTGCGTTTCAGATCGTTAAAATAGGGCCCACAGCCTGTGAGTATGGGTTCATATTTTAAGAATTTGCTACTGACAGTGTGTTCTGCTCCACGTCTACTTGTCCAACATGACATCATGACTTTTGCGTAAAAATATACGCCACTTTCGAGTCAGGTGGCGTGTTATCTCCACGCATTTTGTGCTATCCGCGTGTGTCCGTGTGTATGCGTATATGTCTACGCCATTAACGTCCGCGTCATTCCGCGAATGTCAAATCTCCAGTCATAAATGCCATTAACCCCAGTGACGGTTAAGTTTAGGGATGGGGTTGAGGTAAGTCATATCTTTTTTTTACCTAGGATGGTAAGGGAACAGTCATAAATGCCATTAACCCCAGTGATGGTTAGGTTTAGGGACGGGGTTGAGGTAAGTCATATATTTATATAACGTTAAGTCAACGGCGTTCATAAACACGCTGAAAGGCGATTATGCGTCTTGATAGCACGCCAAAAATGGAAATACGAATTGCCGTGTCATACACACGCTACTTCATGAGATCAGTCTGACTTGTCACTTGTATTGAATAGTTGTTTTAGTTCTAGCTCCCCTGTGGCAGCTGCCTTCCTAAAAATTAGCTTTGCCACCCCAGATGACAGCTCGGAGACTGATGTAATGTACAAACTATTTTTGGTTTTGGATAATGGAGGCACTAGAGGCAGGAGCAAAACTGGGGAAAAACACAGAGCGGGCAGCTTGGCCAGACAAGGGTCAGTGCATCCTTGCTCTTTGAGAAGAATTTTGGGCAGTGAGCGTTCTCCTGGCACGCGAATAGGTCTACCTGTGCTCTGCCGAACTTCTCCCACAGCAGGAGGATTGTCTGCGGGTGCAGAGGACATTCCCCAGCTGGTATATTGTTTCTGGACAGTCTGTCTGGCCCCAAATTCAGGAGGCCAGGCACGTGTGCTGCTCTCAGTGAGCACAGATCGTGCTGAGCCCAGGCCAGAATGCGCTCTGTCAATCTGAAAAGGTTTCGAGACCTGACGCCGCCCTGGCGATTTATGTAGGATACCACCAACATGTTGTCCGAGCGGACTAAGACGTGGCAGCCCTTTATTAGGGGACAGAAGCGCCTCAGCACGTTGTCGACTGCCCACATTTCCAGACAGTTTATGTGAAGGAGCTTTTCTTGTTCTGACCATAAGCCGAAGAACTGTCTGCCCTTGTGCAGCGCTCCCCATCCCGAGGTGGAGGCGTCCGTGGACACCACCTGTTAACTCGAGGAAGTCCCCAGGCTTACACTAGACTGGTATGAGAGTTTTCATGGCTGTGACACATTCCTGATTGACCCTGAGGCGAAGCAGACCAGAAGCCCAAGCTTGAGGTGGTACTCTTGCTTTGAGCCAAAACTGCAGCGGGCGCATGTGAAGCGGGCCCAGCTGAAGTACTGAAGATGCTGAGGACATCAAGCCCAGCATTCTCTGAAAGCTCCTGAGCGGGACTTTAGAATGACTTCACTATTCAGCTAGATTCTTCCTCAATCACCCCATCAATGTCAGTCAGAAATCTTGGAGCAATCTTTGACGATCAGTTGACCTTCACAGACCACATCACAAAGACAGCTAGATCATGCAGGTTTGCTATGCACAACATCAAGAAGATCAGGCCCTTCCTAACTGAGCACGCAACACAACTTCTCGATCAGGCCCTAGTCATCTACTGGCTGGTCTTCCATCATGTGCAACTAAACCATTAGAAATGATCCAGAATGCTGCAGCTCGTCTGGTCTTCAACGAGCCCAAAAGGGCCCACGTCACTCCTCTGTTCATCTCTCTGCACTGGCTGCCACTCGCTGCTTGCATGAAGTTCAAGGGGTTGACACTTGCTTACAGATTGACCACAGGATCAGCTCCCTCCTACTTCCACTCATTACTACAAGTCTACATCCCTACCAGAAGGCTAAGATCAGTCAATGAGTGACGGCTCGTGGTACCATCACAGAGTGCCTCAAAATCCCTCTCCAGAAGGTTCTCATTCACTGTACCATGCTGGTGGAATAATCTGCCCAACCTCATCCGGAATGCAGAATCCCTCTCAGCATTCAAAGGACAACTGAAAACTCACCTCTTCCGTGAGCACTTAACATAATATAATATAAAAAATAAATACACTTAAATAAATAAATACAAATATTCATTCCTTTTTATTTAAATTCTTGCTTATCTGGCTTATGCTACTCCGAGCAATGAATGAACTTTGTAGTTTGAGCACTTCTTGCGTTGTTTTTGCCTCTTCACGATGACTCGCTTGGTTTAGTCCTCAGTTGTAAGTCACTTTGGATAAAAGCATCTGCTAAATGACTAAATGTAAATTTGTACTTTATGGATGGAGTTTGGCTGGCTGTTAAATTGCATCTGACTGTACATGTAAGGGGAACAGTGAGTTCCACAGTGACTATTCAAACGCGAGTTTTGAGCAGTACACAGTAGTTTTATGTAACGACAAAAGTGTTCTCACACCCGTAGTGCGTGTAAAAAGAAAGTATAAGTCATTATAATCAGTAATTTTGTCCCCAATGAAATAAAACCTCAACAATCTGATACGATCCGGTCCAGTCGCACTGGCAAAGTTGATTAATCATCTTGGTCTTCTACATTTTAAGGATCAGATTCGGGCTCGAATTGATAAGATATAACCGACATCAACTGTCATTATTGCTTTGGGAGCTGTAAAATAATGACTTTTTTTTAACCCACAACCGTTTAAACACATTGCATTAAACCAAATAAACCAAATAATGTTATTTTATAGAACCATCATATGACCCCTTTATTTAATAAATAAAATAAGATATTCTGTTCTTACCATCCTGTAGTTGATCGTGTCCTGAGGAAAAATTTAGAACATAGACAAGAGAATACAGCATTAAATATATCGCTTACACACATACATTTCTTTCCATAGTGTTTGGGACAAAGACATTTTCCTCAGTACTTCACATCATCAATAAAAATGAAGCCAATATCTGTCTTACATGCCAATATTACAGTCAACAACACATACTTAACTTTTTGAGTTATCTTTTTTTCTTTTTAATTTAGTTTTTATTTTTTAACTTATAAATTTAGTTTTATGAAACTGAACTTACTTTTTAAAATTTAAACCATTATTAACAAGATTGACTTTGTTTTCTTTCCACAAAAGTACGTTTAAAAGTTAATATATTATTATGATCGGTTGAGATTTTTATGGGCGATCTAGTTGAACACCGGATGGACAAGGCAAAACAAAAAGAAAATTGCAAGAAGAAGAGAAAGATCTTCCACTAAGGCTCCACTTCCTCGAAATGAACTGATTCATCGCGCACAGCAGTTGATAAAAATGATCAGACAAGTAGAACGATTAAATAAGAAGATAATACACATTGCGAACCGTATTATGGTTGTAAATGAAATAAACTGTTCAAATAAAGATGTGTTGAAATTGCAGGGCAAGCTCAAATTACTTAAAGCCTAGTTTGAGCTTGGCCTGCGAACATAAGGGTCATCATTAGAAGAGTATGTGTGTAATGTTGACACGTTATGTGTAGGGAGATTGAGTTGAGACCATATGTATTGTAAAAGGGACCTTGAATGTTGTTTGCCAGACAGAAGTTGTGATGCTAGAGAAAGGTCAAAAGGGGCTGCGATAGAAGAACTCATCATACAAAGCTTTTGTGTATGTGCTGCATAAAATAATGGTGAAAAAGAAATAGAAAATTTGAATATATAGAAAATATATGCTTCTGCAAGCTTATATTAATAAGGTACTATAAGTCCAGAGTTTTTGACCTTATAAGGTAATTAGCTGTTCTCTGATGACAGCTGATATTTAGGATCGACATCTTCTTTAATCTAAAGGTAAGCGCAATATTTCATTGCAGTGGATTATGGAAATGTTTTAGAAGGATCTAGAGTTTACAGCGGGATAGAAATACAACAAAACCGAAATTGGTAAAACCATTCAGCTGTTTAATCCTTTCATACCGCAGTGCATGCTAGGAGTTTTACACTTTGCTGGCACTCAGCATGCATTGTGACATGAAACATTTGATTGTCACCATTGTTGAGATTCATGTGCTGATTGTTGATGTCCGTCTGTGTTTAAGTTATGCATATGTTCATAAATAGAAATTAGTAAAAAAAGTAAAAATGTATCCCCAGTCTGCCTTATTTATTTACATAAAACATGTAAAATAGCAAGAAAACAAGAACTTTACCTCTGTTTCTTTGCATGACCACAGCAATCAGTATTCCAGCAATCACAACGAGCACAACTATAACTGTAATCAGGATGACTGACGTCCTCCAAGAAATAAACATACTATCTGCAAAACAAATCAGTAAATAAGCACATTATGTAAATCAAACGTATGTTTTACAGGTTTTTACATAATGTTCAGTTCTTTACACAAACACAATAATGTTGGTACAAAATTCTATTATAAACCTAATGTTCCTATTGCTTTTAACTTTCTGATTTATCTGACTATCTGATAAAAAAAATAATATATTGATGATAATAATTAATTATTTTTACCAGTGTTGGGTAAGTTACTCTAAAAAAGTAATTAATTACTAGTTACTAATTACCTCTTCAACAGTGTAATTAGATTACTGTACTAATTACTCTCTCTAAAAAGTATTTAATTACTTACTAATTACTTTACAAATCCCATATCAATCTCAACCAGCTGAATAATACAAGGATAGACATGAATCTGTTTTAATTCTTTGAAATAAATACTATAAAATTGCATGAACTATCCTTAAACAGACCAAGGTGGAGAAGGTTACATTATAAAAACATACTTTTTAGCATCAGACAATACATTTTGATGTTAAACCCACTACTGTTCTATGTCTGATCTCATGACATTTCACATTTTTTCATACATATTTTACAATAATTCATACGAATTTTTACGAGTGCGGTCGTAATATTTAGACACCTCATAAAATGCATACGAATCGCTGTGAGATCGGATTGATCTATACACAGTAGCTATTTACCTAAATTACATCAGAAGTAACTGTAATTAAATTACAGATAAATTAAGAGTAATCCCTTACTTTACATTTTCAAGGGAAAAGTAATTAAATTACAGTAACTAATTACTTAGTAATTAGATACACCCAACACTGATTTTTACTGCATTAAAAAAAATCATGTGAAACATAACTGATGTTGTGGCAAAAATCCTGTCAAACATCATCACTGAGTAAGAGTCAAAATAATAAAGAAAGAGAAGTTTTTATTCTTGCAAGAATAGGCCCAGTTGCCAACACAGCAGTTACAATGTGGAGTGAGTGAAACGCCTTCAGGGAGACATGAGATCTAAACAGCTCTTATAGTCTTTTCAAGGTTCCTCTTCACCCGCTGTACCTTTCACCCACCCAGATAAGGTCCTTACTGCTGTTTAGCTTCTATTTAAGGACACAAACTGGTACTGAAATAAACTGACCCAAACTGGCCATCCCTAAGGTGCAGTTCAGCCGGGCTTCCGATGTTAGATACTGTATGTACTTGTTCTGTAATTAGTTTTGTTGATGGTAATACCAAATTAGTAAAATGTAAAGACAGCTATGTCCAAAGATTCTGGAAATCAAGGTTGATTGGTCATTGAATATATATATATATATATATATGAAGAGTTCAGATGCAAAAGCCTCTAAGTGCCATTTGAAATTTTCTTCTTTAATGATCATTTTTATCAAGCTTGTATATTTAAGTTCAGTGATTTCACTTAAATGGCAATGATTACCCATTAATTGTTATTTAAGTGAAATTACTGAACTTAAATTTAAAATTATTAAGTGAAAATCATCATTAAAGAAGAAAATTTCAAATGGCATTTAGAGGCTTTTGCATCTGAACTCTTCATATATATACATATATATGTTTCCCTGGACAAGTGTGACCAAAAATAACTGAAAACAACTTAGAATATTTTGAGCATTTCAATGCAGCTTATGAAAATGAATGTGCTGCCAATAATAATGATGAAGATTATGATTTGGCTATTGTGATTAAGTCCGCCACTGGTGGACTGTAAGGAATACAGAGAACTGCTTATCAGTGGCTCTGTATGCATTCCTGAATGGGACACACTGCTTCAAGTTGGAGCTGACCGAGTTTTAATGGTGGTCAGCAGGACCATTCATATTTAAACTCACTCCACAGTGTAACTGCTGTGTAGACAACTGCGCCTATTCTTGCAAGAATAAAACTTCTCTTTATTTATTAATTTGACTCTGAGTGTCTCTTACGCAGTGATGATGTTTGACAGGATTTTTGCCACAACACTGCCAAGTACAGTAACAGAAGTGTCAGTACTTACTTGTGGTGTTAATCAGTGACTCCAGCATGTGATGTCTCAGTTTGACTCTGCAGTGAATCTTGCCGTTACTGTCATATACAGTGATGGTGTGTTTGACACTGAATCTGTCTGTGTTTCTGTGTGTCTCTGTAGTTTCTGAACTCAAACTGACTCCTTCACTGTCCAGCCACTCCAGATCAGGTTCAGGATACCAACCTTCAGATTCACACTGTAGATGAAGCCCTCCTGAACCATCAAACCCATCTACAGTGATCACTGGAGGACGTCCTACAGCTGCAGATCAACAAGAAACATGAAGTTTTTATTCTGGCTTTTTAAAGTTATTTTCTTATTTGAAAAGAGCATGCTAGTTCTCACTGGTTTCCTCACCTTCAACTCTGACATCAACAGTGGCGTCATCAGACCGGGATTTAGACTGAATAAAACACTTATAAAGACCTTCATCAGAGACTCGGACCGTTGAGAGTTTGAGTGATGCGTTTCCTCTCTGTAGTTCTTGATGGATCAGTTTTGTTCTCTCTCTGTAGGACTGAATCTGATCTGCGTTTCTGTCTTCATGATCCTCATAGAGATGCACTAGTGGTGAGTCTTTCAGATCAAGTCTAAACCACTTCACTTTCATGTCCACAACACTGATGTTGGGTTTGACTGAACAGGGCAGAATAACATCTTCACCAGCGACGGCAAATACAGGATCTGCAGGTCCCAATACTTCAAACTGCTCTGTTACAAAGAGAAAGAGCTGATCTGAACTAAACATCCTACATAGGGTGACCACCATCAAACAAACCAAATGTGGGACAATTATAAGTTTGTGTGGGACAATGTGGGACATGTTACCAACACTAAAACATACCCTGAAACTGTTATATAATGTCTATCTAACTTGATAAAAACATTTACATTCTGCCTTTCAGGTGATAAAAATCTTTTTTTTTTCCAAAAAAAAAGTCATTTAAATTCAGCATCACTGAGCCCAAAGGCAGCAGGAATCATGTATACATTTTTTTTAGAAACAGTTCTGACCAAGTCCAACAAAAAATCCAACAAAATAAACAATGAACAAATAAAATATAAAACAACATGAAATAGATAGACGGTCTTATATTAATATTATATTAAAAACCAAAACCAAAAATATTCATATTTTTAGAAAGGATGTGAATTAAACTATCTCTGCAGGTTAAACAACAACAGATAAATTCCGTTAAATTAAAATGTTAATTTACCGAATTATCCATTTGTTTTCCGACAGGGAATCACCGGTCCACATTTTGATTGACAGCCGTCACAACCAACGAGTGACCGTGTTTAGCCTACTCCTTTCTTTTCAACCATTGGATAGTGTATAAAACACAGCTGTTGTATTTGTACTTACGACGAAGCGCTGCAAACTAGCAAGCAAAAGTAATAAGTAGAATGCTGTCTTAAAAAGGCAAAATAACGCATGCACGTTTTCTTAATATGATATTAAAAACTAAAGACTGATAAAAATGCGGGACATTTCCTCAATATCCGACGTGCGGGACAAGAGGCTGTGCAGTACAACGCAAAGCGGGACGGGTGGTCACCCTAGGTTTTTACCCTAACGTTAGTGTTGTTCCAGACAAACAGTAGCCTACTGTTCAATAAATATAAAGTATTATTCACATTGATCATTAAATTACCTGATCTTGAATCTGTAATTCCGCTAAAAAGTAGGAGAGTCAAACAAATGAACTTCATCTCTGAGACATAGCCTATCCTAAAAAAGAAAACATGAAAAAAAGAGAAAACATTACAGAACAGTTTGTCAACAAACAGGCTTTATGCCTTAGAATAACACTTACACTTTACCTTCTGTACAAAAGCGAGATACACACTTTCACTTTCTGTTCAAAGAAGAAAACTGGTTAACGGGTCCAGAGTCCAGAGCCGTTGAAAAACGGAGTTACGACACTCCCACAGACCGCTATTGGAACTTTGAAATGCGGAAGTAACGCGTGTCGTGGAGCCGCCGATTTTACTGATAGTTCAGGTGTTCTGACGAGAATGCTACCCATCGAGATTTGCTACTTACCGGTTATGCGCATGTGCAGACTCAGTTTTTTTTTTTTTTTTTTTTTTTTTTTTTACAAACGGTACATTTTCCTGTTATAATATATAATTTCCCTTTAAAAAATGCTTACTACCATATTAATATTTGTAGGTCAGCCAGCTGAAAAAGAATAACTGAAAGTTTCAGTTACTATGAGGAAATAGTGTACTTTGACAAGTCAAAGATTAATATTTTATGATAATTTTTACTTTTCACACCGTTTTAAAAATAAAAATCACACCGTTAATAAAAATAAATAAAAACGGTAGTCTACAGTATACAGTAGCTACTCATAACTTAGAATTGTATTATAATTGTATTTCATACGACTTTAATCGGCATTCTGTGATCAATTCATGCTACGGTAGCATTTTTCTTGCATTCAAATCTTCTCCCCCCCCCCAAAAAAAAAGAAAAAAAACAACTTTACAATAAAAAAAATAAAAAGCATGCATGTTCCCAATTCAATTCCAGATTTTCTACACATAGGACGGTTTGGGTCATTCAATTTATTGAGCTTCATTGGAGTTATATAGTGTTTAGACAGAATTTCTTAAGTAAATGGCTATAATCTATGAGCGTTTACACAGCCATTACATTTAATAATGGCAAATGCTGGTATTTCATGTGCGTTCAGCCAATTAGTTTACATTTACGTCACAGATAATTTGTGCTAGTTTAGACCCTACTCTAAAGGAGGAGCTAAATTAGTTCCTAGAATTAAAATCGTTCCTAGTTCCTGCGGTGTGAACAAACCAAAATACAGGTACTTCCACCAATAGTTCTAGGAACTATGAAAAAGTTCCTCTGGTGCAAGAGCACCAATAAATAGGGTGGGTATACTAGCATCCCTCAAAGTTTCAAGTCATTACTTATTGTGTTGTAATAGACCTAGCCCAAAAATGTCCTGTGAAAAAAAGAAGTTTAGACCCTGCTTTGTAGTAGAAGCTAAAATCATTCCTAGTTCTTCTGGAGTGAACACAACAAAATTAAGGTACTACCGCCAATAGTTGGAAATATGAAAAGGTTCTGGTGCAAAAGCCCCCATAAACAGGGTGGGTGTATTAGCACCACTAAAAGGTTCAAGAACTTACTTGGTAAATTCTATTAAGTACAATATGGTTTCAGCATACACACTTGAACCACAATAGTTAATCATCAGGTAGCACAATATGATGCTATTGAAATGCCCCTTTGTGTTAGAATAAGTCCAACAAATGGACTGGTCTATGTCTGGGGACATATCTTAAAAGACAGGCTTTTTAATAGTACAGATCTGAACAGAAACCATGTAAACTGGATAAATGTATTGGTGCAAGTAAAGACAACAAATATATTCACAACATTTATTAAACCACCAGAAGTCTCACGACATTCTTCGTTATTGTTGGCCATGGCCATATTCTTTAACGTTGATTGGGCCGACAGATGCTCTTTCCCAGCGTAGATCTGTGGAAGAAATGATTAGTGAGAACAAAAGCCATGAATGACAATAAATTATCAGTGTTAGTCCATACCTGTAAGCAGTTGATCACTTCCACTTCTGATGCTACACGTTGTGTCACAGCAGCCACAAACCTGGTCAGAATCATCTGCAGACACCCACCTGACAGAACAAACCCTCAATTAAGGGAATGCAACTAATTCACATGTACACTTATCTAGCAGGAAACATACCCATTAGAAGAGAAGGAACAAGCTTTCTGTTCAGGGCTTGAGGTTGCTGCAGCCACCTTCAAAACACATGTGATGTAGACCTGCAGAGAAAATTGTTTGTAAACCATGGATATCATATACAAAGAGTTGTACAACTACAGGACATGCATACCAGCCCACTGTCTGCTTGCTGGAACCTGAAGGCCTCTAGCTGAAACCTCAGCTTATCAACTTGAGTCCTGGGCATAAAGCGAGACGTGGAGCCTGTGAGCTTGGCATCAACCAGGCACCTGTGAACAGAACCCAGTTAGAAATACACAACCCTTCTGGAAGCTGGGACACATGAGGTAGCAGCTCTTACCCATTATTCTCAATAAAGGAGTATCTGGGGACAGAAGCAACATCAGGGACTGCAGTAGCCACGCAGCTGTCCACAAACACACGGATTGGAACATGGTTGTACAAAAGCACAGATGCTTCAAGATTTATCATGTCACCCAGGAAGTACTGGTTAGAAGGTCTCTCAAATCTCCAGTCATCTGAAAAAGAATAAAAACAAATAATCTTAGCAGATGAAATCATTGTGCAAATCTGTATGGGCTACACCAACCAGTCATGAGCTTGAGGGAGAAGATGAAAACGTCCTCTGCAACCTTAGTTGAGGCATATGGGATCCAAGTGGGCATTAAGGCATTGCTGCTCAAATTATGTGTTCTGTGGGAGTTAAACAAGCAGTCATCTCTTGCCCATAAACTGCAGGATTAGAACATCCAGTGAACATGAATTAATTTAATCCTCACCTTGGATAGTGACACTCGATACCAACCACTGCACTACTACTCCTGGCAATAGGAACACCATATGAAGCCTCTTGTGGGGTGTAGATAATGTTGAACCTATAGACAAGCTCATCCTCAGTCACCTAAACAGAAAGGTTAACAGAACAGTCACATGGATGGTTCAGAATACCTATGATTGTCACAACAGAACCTTACCATTGATGTGCTGCTACATCCATGCAGTTCAGACTCAAAGATCAGCACTTGAGCAGAAGAATCCTCTCCAGTTGCAGTACAGCCTCCCAGTGTGAAACCAGAGGACAACAGTGGGCGTCCAGTCCCAAAGAAGTCCTTCTTCACTTCCACATATACAGAGTTTTCTCCACACTGAGCAGCTACACTGTTGGCAGGGACAGGATTAGGCAACTCAAAAGGAACATCTGACTGCTGTGGTTCCTCAGGTAGACTTGGAAAGCTCCACGTCAGTTTCGCCACTGGACCCTGCAACAGCTCCTTTAATTGAACACCCATAAGATCTTGAGAAGACTTTCCAGAGTCAGTCCTGACAGGAAACATTTGTGGTGCAAATGCAATGTTACTGGGAACCAAAGACATCCTGGAATCAGACTGTTGAGGAGCTTGAGCGAATGTTCTAGGCCTAAATGCACTTGGACTCTGATTGTGTGCTGCTCTTGCTCTCCATTGTGCTTCAGAAAATCCAAGTGCAAAAATAAACACCAATCCAACTCCAACCTGCCAAAACCCCATTATTGCTAAGATTGTTTCAATGACTCCTTAGGGTGCTCCCATCCACATTTATGCAGATGTAAATCACAATGGCTCCACCTCTCTTGTGATGAGCTTAATTTTTCTCTGCAGCTGCCAATTAACTCAATCAATCTGTCACAGGTGAAAGTCATATATTCTGTACTACACAGAATAAAATGAATTAACATATATGGGTGTTTTATTGGTAGCTAAATCAAATGATTGCTTATTTAAAAAACACAAATAACACAAACAACCTCAAGTCTTTTTGTGTCTTCCATTTTTTTTCAATTCATAAACATAGCCACAGACATAATTGCACACTAGAGTATCCAGAATAATAAAGTTTAGTATGTTTCAGGTTTAGATTATAACCAACGCTTTTCCTTCACATCAACAGCAATCTTAACAGGCGTCTAAAATGAAGAACTTTAGATCAAAACCAAAGGATCAAATCATTATTTGATTATAGATTCACTGATATGTTTCTTTCCCATTACAACTTTTACTGTAGGTTTAGGATTTATGACCCACTATGTACTTTTGATCACTGTAGCACCAACATCAGGTCGATTGCAATGAGCCTTGGTGACATAAGGGGCTTTCACACCGGGTAGGTCTAGGAACTAGCCATCAGGGTAGCGCCCCTTCAAACCAATGGTGCCCCTGGGAATGTTTTCCTGGTTGCATTCGCACCGCCATTAGGAACTAGAAGTGACGTAAGCCCCACTTGTTGTGACTTATTTTGACCACGCCAGAGCACACAGTGTTCATATGCTCATTATTTTACGATTTGTCCGGTCTCATGTTATCAGATGGACCTGTTATACATAAAGTAGACAGTAATGGAAAGTTATAAGCACATATCATGTGGTTGATGTCCAGTGTTGCTGGCTTAGCAGAAATACTTGTTTCACTTGGTCCCCTCAATTACAATGGATTCTCTTCTCAGCGTAAAGGTTGAGGTCCATCTATCACCGTTTTATGTTTCTAGAGTTTCTGAAGTAATAATAATATTTCATTACATTTATATATCACCTTTCTGGACACCCATAACGCTTCACATAGAGGGGGGAATCTTCTCAACCACCACCAATGTGCAGCATCCACCTGGATGATGCGACAGCAGCCATATTGCGCCAGAACGCCCACCACACACCAGATCACTGGTGGAGAGGAGACAGAGTGAGTAAATATATAGACTATAATATGCGTTTACACAGCCTTTTTGATAATGGCAAGTGCTGGTGTTTTGCATGCATTCAGCCAATCAGTAAATACTTAGGTCACAGAGTTCCTATAGTGCTGGTTTAGACCCTGCTTTGTAGTAGAAGCTAAAATCGTTGCTAGTTCTTTTGGAGTGAACACAACAAAATCAAGGTACTACCACCAATAGTTGGAAATATGAAAAGGTTCTGGTGCAAAAGCCCCCATAAACAGGGTGGGTGTATTAGCACCACTAAAAGGTTCAAGAACTTACTTGGTAAATTCTATTAAGTACAATATGGTTTCAGCATACACACTTGAACCACAATAATTAACCATCAGGTAAGCACAAGCATATGAAGCTATTGAAATGCCCTTTTGTGTTGGAACAGGCCAAGTCCAACAAATGGCCTGGTCTATGTGTGGGGACATATCTCAAGAGAAAGGCTTTTTAATGGTACATATCTGAACAGAAACCATGTAAACTTGATAAATGTATTATTTGTGCAAGTAAAAGAAAACAAATATATTCACAACATTTATTAAACCACCAGAA